ACCTCAGGGTCCGGCGTGAGGAAGGATATTTGGAGACCTGGCCCATGGGGGTAAGAGGGTACCGGAACTCATTTGGCCTTGGCCGGGTGTTTATTTCTTTACTGTTAATGTGTTTGGAATTAAGGCCTTTTGTATGCCATACCGCGAGGTCCATGTACGTTTTTGAGCCATAATCAATAAACATATGAAAATTAAAAAAAAAAAAAAAAAAAATAGCTTATGGAACCGGCAGGTTATGAAGTGGCAATAGCATACATAAAGTAACCCTCAGGCTACAGGTCCGTGATTCCCTCTCTTACATGCTAGTAGCAACTGTTCAGTGGGTACAAGCCATAATGACGCAAGAAAATCCACCACTCCGCCTTAAGCCTAGCCAATATCATAAAGAAAATACATGTAATGAACCCTAAGCAGTCCTATTCCTCCTCTCAGTAGCTACCTAGTGTGTATGAAGGTAGGTGGTGCACTCCTGGGAGGTAGCCCTGTGATTGTTGATGCAGTTAAGGCACCTAATGGTTGTATGAAGGCAAGGCTTGCCCTTGGTAGGGCACTCTGATCTGCAACAAGCGTGGAGGTGGGCTGAGTGTTTCTGAGAACAGATAGCACAGTGCGGGGTTTTGTTGCATTGGGTTCGGTGATGACCGCATTCCAAGCATCTAGCGCATTGAGTGTCTGGACCAAAGGCCAAGTAGCATTGGACCTTAAACTTCCTGCCAAAGGGTGAGAGGCCTCTGCTGAGGGCTTTATCTGTAGAGTCTTTGCCGGCAATCGTGAGGACCATGGTAGAAGCTGCCTTTGTAATGGGAGCTCCCTCAGGTAGATGGTTACTAAGGATGCGACAGTACCAAACTTCAAATTTCTGGAACACAGCTCTTATAAAAGTGTATAAAATAAAAGCAAACAGTAAAACTTAATATCATTAAGCTCGGGCTTATCTCAATTAAAGTCTCTCGAGAGGATGTTGATTGTGTCGGGGTAGGACAGTTCTCGTATAATCTTTAAGTAGTCAAACTTATACCAAAAACTCCCTCATCACGTTACCCCGACCAACCTGAGTATGCCCTTCTCCGTAAGGGTTACCCCGGCACCATTACCATGCCCCCGAACGGCCCAAGGTCTCAGTGCACTCTCGCAGAATTCTCCCATATGCACAGCGGCTCCTGTGAGGTGTTTACCAATACACCTGCCGGAGTGAAAAGCTCTGCACATTGGTGCCTTGTTAGTGCCTAACTGTCGAGACACCTCGGAAAGCTAACTAAATGACTCTCTTCCCATGTGCTATGACCTATGCAAGCTCCCGTAGACATGAGCTGTCTTCCGGTTAAGTTCTATCTTTCGTGACTGTGGACTTTGAAGGTCTACGATGCTCCCACGGAGAGCTGCGGCAGCGGTGGGACCCATGGGCACTACCCATGATCCCTTACCCCTGACACACCACTCACCATGATAAGTATCATTCTATTAGAGTCCTTAAACAACCTGCAATAAGCCTACGGCAAAGGGGCACATGTAGGATTGATTGGCATAAAACCTTCCCTGATGTCTCCGCTACTACCCGGGACTGCTCTGGGGACCCTTCCGGATTGCTCACGCTAACTCCGTCAGTTTTGCTCCGTTTTACTCCGTTCTTTTTGGTGAAGGTACCAGACCTTCTCACCTTGGCCCCCTTATATATCCTGCGAACGGCCTCCGGTCAGACAGACAGCAGCGACGTATACAGTGTTATGGACATGTCTTAATAAACTCCTTTTAACTAGTAACACGGCAACTCTACCCATTTTGGCACATGATGCCTGGGGCGAACCCTGAGGCCGCAGGTACCTGTTAGGAATAATTCTACCAAGTTACAGCTTGTTCGGAGCACTATAGCTCCTCTAGTAGCCTTCCGATCAGAGTGCAAGCTAGTGCCTGTCGCTCCTTATTGTGTAACAAACAATCCTAAGATTTTCTGGAATTCTTCCAAGAACTTTTCCAATGGAAGGTAGGGTAATAGTGTCCCAAAAGTAGGGTAAGTATGTCCATGGTAACACGAAACCAGTCTCCATTCTAGGGTAATGTGACTTCCTCAGACCGCGTAAACTCACCCGACCTTCTGCCCTATCCTTAGGCCAGAGCAGACATTGTCATGTTACTACTCTTACTTCGGTACACCAATTCCTTAAGTATCTTCTGTTCTTAGGGATATCCGGACCATCAGATATCCCTCAGATATGCCTCTGCATACCCGCCTAGTCTACCATCTGACCTCTTGGTCTTATGTATAGGCATAGACTTAGGTTACCATAGCTCTATAACATAGTGTCATTATAGCCTTGTCCTGGCGTTAGGCTTCCGTGCTGAGCCACCTAGGTGGACGTGGGAGGTGGGTGCCAGAATTGAAGGTCTCAATCTCCGCCTGGACTGTGGGAAAGGTACAAGTGGTGGGGATGCCGTCGACAATCACCTTTTGCCAGACCTCATCCTTTCTGTAGCTCCTAGCAGCAGGAATGGTGGCTCTGATAGCCTCCCCAATGGCAAAGCAGTGGTTTTTGACAACAGTGGAGGCAGGGGTATTCTCCTTGGTGATGAGGAGGATGTAATGGTTGAAAGTGAATGCAATGTTGGAAATCAATTGCTTCTTGATTGCTGTGTTCACAGTATCGTGGATGGTGAGGTGGTTTGTTTTGTCAGGTAGGGCTGTCCTATCTCTTTCAATGATAATGGTACAGTCGTGTTTGGTGAGGAGGGACAGGAGAGGAGTTTTGTTTGGTGAAGAGGTAGGGGGTTTGACTGGGACTTCTCTGGCAGCTTTCTGGGTCCAGGTTTGCATGGTAGGTGGTGGGGGTAGGGTGGATTGGTGTGTAGTAGAGGGTTGTTGTAGGAGTTGTTAAGATTGCAGCTCTGCAACTTTGTTGGTAAGGTTGGCAACCTGGACTTGGAGGTCCTGGACGTCTTTGATATGATGATCTTGAACAACTATCAGGTGCTGCTGCATAGCTTGGACAATCTTGTCCATCTGGTTGTAGGCTTTGTTGACTATGTAGAGCCTTCTGGTCATCGTTTCAATAGTGGGGGGTCGTCCTTCAAGCAGGATGAAGGTGTTTTCGTCTGATTCCACTACCGAAGATCCAGAAGCACCAACTGTCTGGACTGCTGAAGGGGTGTCCTCCATCTTATCTTCCTCCATGGGGGTATCGGTAAGTGAGGTGAGGTGTTGGTAGGGTATGTATGGTTGAAAAGATCTTGCAAGGGGGTTTGAGGCCCCCTTGCCTCTGCCTTTGCCTTTAGGAGACATCAGAGGAGTGGAGAGCATGACTCAGTTGATAAAGGTGATGGATAACAAACAATAAAGGATGATTTGTTGATGAAAAGTCTTTAGGAGGGGCAGGGGAAGCGATGAGAGTTGGCTGTTAGCCAATGAGGTGGAAGCTTGGTGAAAAATTTGTTGTGGTTTTTTCTTTCGCTGTGGTTGTAACAGCAACGGAGTCTATCATGATTACTCAAATAGACTCTCGTTACTGATTCTAAAATCGACTAGAATGTCTTGACGCCTTAAGGCATACCGGTACCTTATTATTATTGAGTTGTCATAACAGTCTCCTCTTATATGTGACATTCCGGTCCCTACAAACAATAAAACTATAATTTTTTGCCCTACATAACAAAATAGAGCCCAGGGGCTATGGGGAGGCTCATTGATAAAACTTTTACTGGGGAGACTAGATATATTACAAGGTGACTGAAATTGATGGGTATGGATATATCCTGCTATATTCACAATCAGCTCCCTGGTCAGATGATTTTATAGGTGCCAGAGATGAGCCGTTGTCATTGTCGACAGTCATCAATGACTGATAAATAGCACATTTGGAGGTCCCTTTCATTTTTCATCGGTCATACCCATTTTCAGCACATGGCTGCATTGTAACCGAATACCAGATCTCCTTCTCGAATAGTCCAATCGGACGCAATGGTGACTGACTGTTCAACCCTCCTAATTCCCTAGCCGAACGGTCCGTTCCGCTGTCAACCGAATGCAACCTCCATATCAGAGATACGAAATTGCGAAGGTTGAGGACTGTTGCTATCAACAAGTTTAGGTCCCGGTTCATTACCCTCTGCTGACGTACCCCGAACCCTCCTAGTCCGCCATTTGGGCACGGACTTAGCTGTCTAATTGCAGCTTACCGAGTTGGATCCCGTTGCCAACCGGAACTTGCATGTGAGATACCACCCTCCAGCCTCCCCACTCCCTAACCTCGCCCCTTTTCGCTGGACTGCCCCAAGAGAACATCTAAACTGACCTTTTCTTGCTTAAGCCTCGTGCTCTTTTTTTCCCTATTCATTGCTCCTCCCTCTTCCTGCTCTAGGTCTCCCAGCATGTTTGTTCTGCGTTCCGTTGCTCCACGGAAGGTACGGGCTATAAGCCATCGTCTAACGCGGACTATTAGCAAATCCGTACCACGTTCAGCCCCGGATGCCTACATCTTATCCGCAGTTCGTACTCCAACCGGAAAGGTATGGCATATGACCTGAGGATTTACACCCATAAAAACTGACAACCCACAGTTTCAGGGAGGATTCAAAGACGTCCCTGCTCCGCAACTGGGATCCTACGCTGTTAAAGAAGCCGTCTCCCGGGCAGGTGTCCCACCTGCAGAGATTACCGATGTCTACTTTGGCAATGTTTTGCAAGCCTCTGTTGGCCAAGCTCCGGCAAGACAGGTCGTCTTATTTGCCGGCCTATCGGAGACGACTGAAGCAATTACTATAAACAAGGTTTGTGCTTCGGGGCTTAAGAGTGTTACACTTGCTGCACAGAATATCCAGTTGGGTCATGCAAAGTTACAGGTTGCTGGAGGTATGGAGAATATGAGCCAAGTTCCATATTATTATCCTCGAAGTACCCCTTCATTTGGCCATGTTACAGTTCAGGATGGCTTGATCAAAGATGGGCTCTGGGATGTATACGATCAGATTCAGTAAGTACTGGGTGGCTGGTCCAGCAATGAAGGGAATTGGGCTAAAGGGGCAATCTAGCATGGGGAACTGCGCGGAGAAAACTGCTAAAAACCTTTCCATCTCGAGAGAGGAGCAGGACGCATATGCAGTCGAGTCTTACCGCCGGGCAAAGAGAGCCTGGGATTCCGGAGCCTTTGCGGGAGAGGTCACTCCTGTCGCCGTCAAAACAAGAAAGGGGGATGTGATTGTTTCGAAAGACGAGGAATATGAAGAAGTAAAGTTGGACAAAATCCCCACTCTTAGGCCCGCATTCCAGAGAGAAGGAGGTACAATAACGGCGGCAAACGCGAGCACATTTAGCGATGGAGCAAGTGCCATTGTGATTGGGGATAAGTCTATAGCGCAGAACTACGGGGGAAATAGTAGAGTGCTTGCGAGAATAGTTAGCTATGCCGATGCTGCCACAAAGCCTGTTGACTTCCCCTTAGCGCCCACCCTTGCTATTCCAAAGGCCCTAGAGAGAGCTGGTTTGGGAGTTAAGGACATTGCAAAATGGGAGATCAATGAAGCGTTTGCTGCTGTTAGCAAGGCTAATGAGAAGGCACGTGCAACTCAACTTCGTCACGCGAGCACCAGCGGTTTTCGTTTGTAAAGCTGATTTAGTAAACAGGTTCTCGGCCTTGATCCTACCAAGGTCAATGTGAAAGGAGGGGCGATCAGTTTAGGACATGCATTGGGCTCATCAGGATCCAGGATTCTGACGACATTGCTATACATTCTCGAACCCGGAGAGTACGGTGTGGCGGCAATTTGCAATGGTGGAGGTGGGGCGACTGCGGTAGTTGTTCAACGGATTGAGAGTGTAAAGTAACTAATGGTGATTGAGTGCCGTAAGGACATTGCGGGAATATTGTGTTGGCACACTTTGGGGAATCCAGACGGAATGTTCCTATAGTTTGACAACTATCGGGAACTGGGCGTATTCAAATGTCTGGGCGGCCGGTGGGTGACGGTATCTATCTTGCAAGAAACAGTGGAGTAACCGGAAATTGTGAAATGGAGCGACAAAAGGAACGAATAACCCCTCTATCCCAAGTACTGTATTGTACTTGTACAGGCCTTCAGGGTGGGAAGGAAGTCTCGAGAGTGTCTTCTGTTCCAGGTTTGCAGGATTAAATGCTCTGAGTCCCTGCGCAGAAAACTGGCACCGCACAAAACTTCTAGGGTGCCAGTAATCGCGAAATGAGTTGGCAGAAGTTATCTGAAATGGTCAGAGGGATGTGAAAAAAGGAAAAGTGTGAGTAAGGTTTTGGAGTGCCAGGAATTGTACAGTAAGAGCTTGGTGCAAAACGTAATGAATGAGTAGCACGGAGGTATCAAATACAAAACATAAACTCTTGCCAGCAGTAATAATGAAACCTGATACTATATATAAGAGTGGAAGGAGAACTTTGAGCAATTAACAATGAGTCTACAAACTACTTATCTGAACATTCTCTGAATGTGTTGAACATATGATTAATAAGTATATTTTAACATGAGGGTTCTACTCGTCAATTTGTAAAGTATCCGGAAATAGAGAATGGGCCTCGGTGCCAAGCCTTCTTTCAATACCGTATGTAACCTTCACCTTCCCCATTAGACATATGGTGAGTCCTCCTTAAACCTACTCAACTTGGTGCTTTATTGGGCAAGGAAAGTATAGCAAATGTAATTGTACAGAGAGGTAAGTTTATGCTAGGAAAAATTGCATCTCATCAGCAGAACCTGTATTTGCTATACCGGACAAAAATAGGATCTTGGCGCCAAGGCATTTTCTCTATTTCCAGATACTTTATGAATTGACAAGTAGCCTATCTAATTTCTGTTGCACAAACCAATACATCTTGGTGTCAGATTCAGGGAGGCAGTCTTTTAAATGAGCAAAAAACAAGATGGGGTCCTGTCTATCTAAAACATCAGATGCATGGGACATAGAAGATACAAACTATTCAGTAGGACATACTAGTTTGAGGAACTATCCTCAAAATGTAACAGGCCTTGGCCTAAGAACTAGAGATGTAATAGTAATTGGTAGCTGAAGTCTAGATAAAATCATCATACAACTGTGTTACACATAGAAGTGTAATGGGTACGGCATGTGACTAGTTGCATAAGGTCATGTGTTCGACTCTGGGCCCGGCTGTAGTTATCGCGACGATATCATATTATTGTACGAAACGATAAGGCATCTATGTAGCCCGCTCTGTGGAGCTACCAGGCATGCGACTGAGGGGTTTTCACTGGATAACATAGAAGGAGCTCTGTTCTATAAGGTGAGACTTAGTTGGTTCAGATTGGTCGATTAGTTATAGAGCTACGACCTTTGCAAGTCTATACGCTATTACAAGAAGTAATACACATGCCCCTTCAGCTCGTGTAAACTAGAGTGATCTGGAATACCTAGTTATATTCGGTCAATAACAACTCACTGGTCGAGTTTATTTATTATTATATCTCATTATCTCGCTTATGGAGCCAAAGGCTATGAAG